TCTTGACTTTGTTTCGACTATCAGACAAAAGACTCCCAACAACAAAGATCACAGAGGCGTAGTGTACTAGGTCACACTCTCAGCTTTCCTTATACTGCATGATGGACAATAGAAGATAAAAATGAACGCAGCAGGTATGGTTTCAGTATAAAAGTGGATGGAGGTTTCTCCACCTTTATTGTGTGAATGAAGTGTGTGGGTGCTGGAACTGGACATTTTTCCACTTGGCTCTAAGGTGAGACAGCGTTGTAGCATTTGAACAATATCACTGTTTTAGTTTGATTGCAATGAAAGTTTATGAAATGTTTACAAGCTGCAGGACCAACTTCAGAGTATCAAATCATTTCTATTGGAATTAAATCTGTGATTTATTTAAACATGCAATACAAAGGATGTTTTCCCTGTTTATATAAACTTTCTATGTAAGCACTGTAAGTATAAATGTGAACCAAACCGGAATGATTATTTTAGTTGTAGAAATAATGTTTCACTTCAAATTGTTGTCAAGAATTCATACTTTACTGCTACATGGTATAAGATTGTTTTCTGGTTAATGATGGATATGAATCGTCATGTGTTATATATCCTTTACCTGTATCAATTGATATGGACCTTTGTGTCAGAAATAAAGAAAAATAAAGTGAAGTATATAACCAGCCAATCAAACCATTTGTGGTTCAAGAAACAATCATTTCTGGACATTTGTTTTGTGATCAGACATAAAGCCTCAGCGCAGATCTGTCCTACTGGGAATGAAAAAAAAACATGATTTGTACAGCAGTGAATGCTTTAGTAAAATGATCTTAGATGTAATATTCTTTTGAATATGAAATGTAACAGTACAGGTTGTTTTCATTATTTCCTTATTATAAATAAGGAAATAATGGATGTAAACCATACTCTTTGACAGCTTTCCTTTCAACGTTAAAGGAGAGGTCATAGTTTCTGAGATGAATCTGGATCCATCACATCACCTCTCACTGCTCCTCCTGCTTTTTGTAAACCTAACAGGTGAGGCACCATTGCATCTGAGAATTTATTCACATTTTTTTTACCTTCAGTAACACAACTGATCTTATCACAGAGGCACGAGGTCTGTGTAAAAAAAACTTCTTAGAAATATGTTAAACAATGGGACTATGTATTATGTGTCCGATCTATAATGAATCAATGTTCACTTCACTAATCTGGTACTTTATTGTGGTCTTTTAGGGCTCACCTGATCAAAGTGGTGCTGGGTCAGCACGACATTATGAAGGTGGAGGGCTTTGAGCAGGAGTTCGATGTTTCCTTGGTCGTTAGGCACAACCAGTACAACCCCTGGACATTTGACAATGACATCATGCTGCTTAAGGTGAGGGATGACTGTGGAATAACACAGACTTACACATCGATAAAGATTTGAATTAGATTGTGTGATTTAGGACATATAGGTTAGAATCAGTTTCAAACGCTGCTAATGTTTATCACTGACACAGATACAGTGATCTAAATAACCCATGTGCTGGCTCATTCAATAATTGCTTATTATATTAACTTAAAGTGATGCTTCAACAATGTAGGGATGCATCTATATAAAAAATTTTTAAATTGTTTTTGAATTCAGTGTTTTGTTTTGTTTTAAGTAATGTTTTGTGAAAGAGGGGCAGATATTATAAGATTAGTCTTCTTTCTGCTCCTTTTCATTCAAAATTTGAGATTTTATGTTTGTTTTTCTTAATTTTTTTATTGTTTGTTTGTTTGAATGAAATAACAATTTACAAATAAATATAGGCCTACATTTGTAGATTTCATAAGAATCAGAATTTGGTCAAAATCAAAGTCAATGGTCAAAATGGATGCAAGAAATATTGTAGTTTTATAGTCTTGGTATTGGCCAAATTTCAAAAGAGTTGAATCCTACATTTCCCATAATGCATGTTAACAGGTACTTTTCACTGGACCTCCCATGCATATTGAATGCCCCAATATTATAAACTAACTAAAAATATATATAATAAAAGTTAAAGCACAGGTTTCAAACCTAAATCTTTCCTTCTCTGTGGGTCAGTTGGAGCGTCCAGCTGTCATCAATGCCATGGTGGAGCCAGTTTCTCTGCCAGATTCAAACTCACAGTCTTTGGACTACAGGGCCCGATGCACGGTGAGCGGCTGGGGTGTGACCTGGCTCAACAGCTACATGTTGTCACCTGTTCTCAGGTCTGTGGATGTAGACATCTTCCCCCCCTGCTGGCGCTACTACTACTTCAGGACCACGCAGAACATGGTGTGTGCCGGCTCTGTCTCTGGAGGGAAAGACTCCTGTCAGGTGAGGCACAGAGTTGTGATGTGATGATCAAAAAGTTACAGTTTAAGTAGAAGAGATCACTGCTGATGTTGAACTATAACACAGAAAATAACTAATGTGTCAAATGTAACAGGAAGCATTATTTGGCTTTCATGTTGATTTCACAATAGTGAGGTTGTTACAGTATTTCATTAGTTCAATATTCTAAAAAGGCCAATTAATCACCATCAAAATTAAAACCAAACAAAATGCTGAAAGATTTTCATTAGCTACTCACAAACTTGAGCATGTGCTGTATGATGCTGGACATGAGTATTATTCTGAAAACACTAGTTAATGAGAGCAGAGTGCCAGAAAAGACCTAAGCAATCAGGCATCATACAGCACTTGAGCATGTGCTGTATGATGCTGGACATGAGTATTATTCTGAAAACACTAGTTAATGAGAGCAGAGTGCCAGAAAAGACCTAAGCAATGTTCAAAATGACATAAAAGAATATGCTCTGTAAAGCTGCGAGAAAATGTATATTTGAATGTTAATATTCTCCCAATTCAGCCATTTTTGCTGCTTCAAAACCTTTTATATGAATAATTGAGCCACAAAAAAAGACGCAGATTCTCAGATGTGATCTCCTGGAAAAGACACAAGAAATCAGATCTGTCAAGCCCTCATTTTAACATTAATATGTGTCAGATAACCAAATTGCTAACTGTGTGTTTTTCCATTCTCAGGGTGACTCAGGAGGACCTCTTGTTTGTGATGGTAAGTTTGAGGGTATTGTGTCATGGGGCATAGGCTGTGCCTTTGCTAACTACCCCGGTGTCTACACCAAGGTCAGGAACTACCTGGGCTGGATCAACAGTGTCACTCAGACAAACAAAAGGAAATGAACAATTCTGTACTTAGACTCCACCGTGGTGAGGATTTAAATGGATCCTGATGGACTTAAAAGCCTAAACTTACTTTTAAATGTTTTCTTTTTATGTTTTTATATAAACTGTGTATATTATTATTAAGATTGATTTAGCAATTTATCATTGTTGCTCTACATGTCTCCACTCCTTCACTGACTCTGAGGTCAAAGAGAAGCTGGACTTGACAATAAAAATATATTTTCCCAAACCACCTTGTCCGTAATTCATCTGTAAAACTGTGATAAACATCTTGTCAGACAGGTGACTTACGGCACGCTGTCTATAGCTCCTCTTTAATCATTATGTCTGCACAAAATGAAAACGGCAACAACAGAGCTGCTCACATTTCCACACGACAGCATGTTGACATCCCTGCGACTGATTGGCTATGAGCGCTCCCTCTCCCCCACACCTTCACTCTGCCCCATTCACATTTAAAGCAGAGAGCCACAATAGACTCATTCACTGACACACAAATACAGACAAAGACCCAAAGAGAAAGTATGGACTGTGTCAAGTTCAGCGGGGATGTGATGCATATTAAGGAGCACGGCTCCAGACACTTGTCCCAGGAAGGAGCTGAAGTAGGAGTGAAGGAGCTGATCCAGCGGTCTCAGGAGGCCAAGAAGCAAGCCTACTGTCCGTACAGCAAGTTCAGAGTGGGAGCCGCGCTGCTGACCCTCGACAACTCCGTGTTTACAGGTAAGGCACAGATATCATTTGCCTCTGAATTATTTTAATACAGGACATGTTTAGCTTGAAGGGTTAAAACTAAGGGTTAGGATAAAAAGTCAAGTTTAATGACATTCTGTTTATCTTTAGTGATAAGTATGAAACCTAAACTCTACTTTTTATTCATCGTTTTCCAAACACCAACCTTTTAAGTTACAGTTTTAACCATTAGGGGCCACTTAAAGACTCTATATACAGCACAAGTATTCTAAAAGTGAACATTGTCAATCAGGGAAGAAGTCAGAGGTACATTATTATGCAATGTGTTTGAGTCAGCTCTGGTCTTTTTTATTCTTTAGATCATTGTGAATCCTTGAGAAGTAACAGACAGAGGATGTTAAACATCAACTCGATCACAGCTTCACTTTGATACACTAAGACAGAGGCAAAGTTACATGCAGTAGCTCATCAATAAACCGTTACCAGGCTCACTCTTTATTATCTAAAGAGATTTACACATTTCCCAAGATGATTAACAAATGCTCTCTTTCCTGTAAGCTAGGATGATCCTTTGTTGTTACACCACCTGCGTCATCTGTGCTGTTTATACAGACAGGGATGTCAAGTCATTGTCAACAGTCAGGAAAAAACACAGCTCTCCGGTCCATGGCTGGACTCTGCAAAGCCTGGCCTGTCACGTGTCCCTGGGGGGCAACAAGCTGGCAAACAGCTGTGAGAGCATAGACTCATTGAGTAACTATTTGACCAAGATAGAAGTAGATAGACAACTAGTTCAATGGTGAAAAGGCCATTTCCCTTCCACCTCATATTACTTTTTCATTCAACTGAAGAAACTCAAAATAGCTGATGGCATGTTTTCATTGCAGGTTGCAATGTGGAGAATGCCTGTTACAACCTAGGCGTGTGTGCTGAAAGAAACGCCATCTCAAAGGCAGTGTCCGAGGGCTACAGAAGCTTCAAAGCCATTGCAATCGCAAGGTAACTTCCCCTTTTTTAGTAATCGAAAAAACTGTAATGTGGAACGTGACTCTTCCCTGTCCTTGCACAAGCCCACATTCTCCAGTATTTCCAAACCATAACTCACTGTACTTACGTTTCCCTCTGCACGTCAACATATTGATCAAGCTTAACCTATTGCATGAGAGGGCACATGTCCAGATTATGTAAAACTTTTGCTCAAATATTGACCAACAGGTTGAGACGAGAAAAGGTTGAATATCAATCTTTGTCAGGCAGCAGTAAGCATGCTACACGTAAACTAATCATGTGATTTTAATTATCTTAATGATGACAATAACACCTATATCAGCATTCTGAGAAACATTTTAGGAAACAGAGATATAACGTTTATAGATCAGAGCTTATGGTAGCAGTAATTACTTTTCAGACTTATATCAGAGCAAATAGTCTTTTAGACTCAGAGACAGTGGGGAGTGTTGGAAAGAATAGAGGAACCTACAGAGTAATTAGATTCATACCCGATGTCGCCCTTGATGTCGCCCTTGATCAGATGTCGCCCTTGAGCAACATCATGAAACCAAAACAACTCGCGCTGCATTGTTGTGTTAGCATGCTAATGCTAGTGATCTTTATTATGCTCGTATCTTCACACTGCATGTAAATTTACCTGAAATGAGCGTGATCTAGAAACACAGTTAAGCAGTGAGTACAGTATGTTATTCTTCTTTTCTCTAGTCCCTCAATTGAACAACTTTTATACGTGAGGGGAGGAGTCAGCCAGCTGTCCGGGCGATGTAAACAAAGTGAAGATAGGACTCTGAAAACTCTGAAAACATCACAGACAGTGGGACTCGGGTGTTACACTCATTGTAGACAGTCATGACTCACAGAGTTATTTTCAGAGGATATACTTGATTTCTACATTTAAGTGTGAAATATCACATATAAAGCCTTTAAGTCAAAAAAAATATTTTTAACTTGTGCATTTTATTTTTTTATATTTTTTATTCGATTACGTTTCTAGACATTAGGAGCACTACTGTGGTCTACCTTTATTTATATTCATTACTATATTTCTATTACTTCTATAAACCAACGAAACAAATACATCCCTGCTTGTGTAAACTTTCTTGGACCAAACTAGATTCTGATTCCAGAAATTCAGATCTCTTGTTGTTTTTTCCCCCCCTTCATGTTTTCTTTGTAGCGACCTGAATGACCAGTTCATCTCCCCGTGTGGCGGCTGCAGGCAGTTCATGAGAGAGGTATGATCCATTACTAGAGCTGTGAACTCCATGAGGACAGTTTATAGAGAATTACAGATCCAGTTTGAACACAAAGCTGCTGCTCGGACAACATTTATTTACTTAACCACTTCCTGTATGTTATTTTATTTTTTTATGGGGTGTCCTCTGTCAGTTTGGGCCAAACTGGACCGTGTACCTGTCCAAACCTGACGGCTCGTACGTGACCATGACCGTGAATGAACTGCTGCCCGCCTCCTTCGGCCCTGAAGACCTGTCCATGAAGAAAGTATTTGACATTCCCAATGAGTACTGAGTCTGGCTTTGGTGTTTGGTCTTTGAGCCCTATGACATAGTCCGTGTTCAATGCTGTTTAATGTGTATCAAGCATGACTTTATTTATGTAAATTTTGTTTTTGTATAATCTGCCCATTGTCACAGTGTCATATAATCTTAATTTGTTTTAATAAATGAGTCATTGAAAATCCACAAACTGACATTGATGTTATGATTGCTAGATCATTGCTTAGTTTTTTAAGAATCACTAAAGAAAATGAAATAAATATCCAAGCCTTGCCACATGTTTTATTATCTGTTTTAAAAGAAGTTTATTAAATAAGTTACACTTCATTTCTTACAATTTCATGTGGACATAGATGAAGTTCAAAGGACATTAAACAAAAAAAGGATTAGAAGTTACAGTGTACTTCAAATATTGTTTGAGCAGCAAATGATTCCATTACAGAGTAGAAGAAGAAGAAAGAGGGGATGACACATTTAAGCTGCCAGCGCAAATTCCCTTAACATTTATTAGTGAGTTTAAGTTTAATTATTTCATGCATTCATGTTCACAATAATTTTAGGGGAGAAAATGGGGAAAATGTACTGTGGTAGCGGTTATTGTTTCTCCCTGATTCAGACAATTGACGTAAAAAAAAAAACTATCGAGATCAGACAAAGAGGCGGTTTTGAACATTATGAGATCACTGAGCCAATATCATATTTAACTTCATCAAAATTCTACTTGGCTCAAAGCATACTTCAACTGAACACTAGCAAGAAATGCTAACTCGATACAAGGCGTAAAAACCTCAATTTCTTTCCCCGCAGTTTTTTAAAAACGTGAGATGTAAAAAAAAAACGAGATGTAAATGGTGTCATCTGGTTATTGCCGCATACAGTGATGTGAGATTCTCTGTTCTGTTTTCAAGTTTAACTGAAGGCTCGTGAAGGTAAAAAAAAAAAAAAAAAAAATTAATAATTTATTCATAACGTCAGTGCATCAGTCTCAGTCTCCAAGCCTTTTTGTTTTTATTTGAACCCATGTGGAGATCTGATCACATACATATAGAGGTGAAATCTCAAACTCATTGGCTGAAGGGCTTTTCATTGTAAAAGAGGTGTTTAGGCTTAAGGCAAATTTTAGAGATCAGTTGTTCAAGGACTTAACTAGAGCAACAGTAAATCGCAAAGTCATGCTTTAAGATTTCCTCTTTTGAAATTTACAGAGGCAAAAGTTAAAAGATGATCAAAACTAATATTACTGGATGTTATCTGTAGCACACACATACTGCACATAGGCACATTCCACACACACACACACAGCAAACCACAGCTAACGACTTTACCTGGATGATTGTTGAGTGTACAGACAACTCCAGTGGTCACGTGGTAAGCAAGATTATGTAGCTGTAGATGGCTAACAACCAGAGATGGCTGCTATAAATGGGCCAGCAGGGCTAAGCTCCACCCCCTTCTTAAACAATAATGAGGAAATGATTCTTTGAATAACTAAGGTACCAAAAAAAACACATGACAGCCTGAGCACTGTGGCATCATCATCCAATCTATTCCCTGATTTAAATGAGTGACATGGCTAGCTTCCTTGATTTGCTAATCATTTGGATTTAATTCTATCAGCCCACAGGCTGCCAGCTTTTGTTCAATGACACAGCTGTAGTGTTGCACTCTGTAGAGGTGCTTATAAGCTAGCTAAGCATCTCTTCTAGCCGTTGATTTTTCCTTATAAATTATAATGACAGTGATGGCACTAATTCTGTTAGTGTTGCTAATGGTCATTTTCTATTATGTGTTAGCATGCCTGTGTGTGTGTGTGTGAGAAAACTAGGCGTGTATGTGTGGGCTACAGCTCAAACCTAACAGGTTTTTTTTTTGTATTTTGTTTTGCTTCTCTGCGTCTCTGTGCAGAAGTCATCAAGCAGCTTAGCTTTTGTAGTTTTGCCTCTCTATGCGTTCTTTTGCAGCTTTTTAACATGCACTTAAACGCATTTTAAATGTTCGATTAGTGCACAAAGTCTAACCGCTAAATCTCTTATCTGCTCCACACTCTGTAACAGATAAATAAATAACATTCTGTAAACAGGATAAAACCGTTTTCAGTGCAGCAACCTGTGTAAAGAACTTAAAACAGAAGGTGAGACCAAAATATCTCTGCAACCCTTCGTACCTCTGTGACTGTGAGCTCAGCTCTCTGTGGAGAAGTTGTTTGTGGTTTCATCCAGAATAGGCCATGCAGGGACCTGTAGTCTGGGTAGTGTGCCCTCCATTAGCCTCTCCATCCACAGTCCCAGCCTGTCCAGCTTGTGGTGGACGTCGATGGTGGTGGCTCTACTGGAGCCTCTCTTCCCTCCTGCCCCGTCCTCCCTGGAATGAGACCTGGACCTCGAGTGGGAGCTGGATCTGGACCTCGACCTGGACTTTCTCCTACTGTCGGAGGAGAACGAGGTTTCTGTCGAGGAGTCGTTGGGATCGTCCCCCGTGAAGACAGGTCTGAAGAGACACAGGTATTTCTTGTGGCCGTTGAGAGCCAGAACATGGCCGGAGTAGTCCGAAGACTCCTCGTCCTCCTCGTGGCCCTGGTCCTGCACGGCAGAGGTTGAGCGAAGGAGCGACGGCATCCAGTGGCGGTGCTTATCAGCGTTGAGAAAGGAGAAGTGGAGATTCTGAGTCCTGTAGAGAGAGAAAGGTTCAGGATTAACAAGTGAACATAATACATGAGGATGGGGAAAAAAAAAAAAGACATGCAGCTTTACCCAGAGAAAGAGAAAACCTCCTTGGCAAATTTCCTGAGCAGGGCGGTCTTGGAGGCGTTGGTAAGCACCAGTACGACATTGATGTGTCCCGGCCTCAGTTTGACCAGGTTGCTGGTGTAAGTGAGGTCTGTCAGCTCGGTCACTTCCACAAAGTCCTTCTTCGGAGGACGGCTGTATGGACGAAGGAGAAAAACAGAGGGCAGAGACACTTAGTGACATTTTGCAGAAAAACATGAATTATATCCCTTTTTGTTCAGTTGTGTAAGGAGTGGATGGCTGCTGAGGGATTTTAAAAAACACTCTGCTAATTGCTTAAACTAACTTATTTTCCCTCGTGAAGAATTCAGTTAAAGCTTTTTGGAGCATGTTAATTATCGCTGTGTGCTATAATTTACCTTACCTCCTGCAGCAGATGTTTCCAAACGTATCCTCACATAGCTTAAGTTGAAGAGCATTCACTGACTCCATAATCTAGAATACTTTCAGCGCCGTCTGCGGCACATTTGGCAGAGAGTCAGAGCTAAGTTACTTCTTTATGAAAGCAGTCTTATGCGTGCCTTTGCGGAGTAATTCAAAGAGTAAGTCAAAGTAAAGGTTTTCAAAAAAAATAAACGCACGTACACGTGTCTGAGTAGGTCAATCTGTGATTTATGGTGCGTTCTATTTGATTGTGGAAGTCAGAAATTCGGAGTTGCTCTTCTGATACCTCATCAGGGACACCCCCCTCACAATACGACTTCACAAATTAAACGACTTCACGTGGAAAGGTCAAAGGAGAAGCTGTGATGAGTAATCCGAGTGTAAAGCTCACCCTCACAGAAGAGCAGTGTGCATCAGTCAGCTGTAAAGACAGACCCTTGGCCACATGCGTATCTGCTGCCATACTTTTCCACAGATTTGTTTACTCTGTAATTTACACCTCAGGTTGCTTCTAGAATACATCAATTCATTAACACTATACTGCTGAGTCATGTTTGATTTTTATTGAGGAGAATTCTTGTGGGACTACATGAGGCTGCTTTTGACAACTCAAGGACGTGCTTCATTGTGAACCACAAACCCCCCCCCCCCCACCGTGGTCCAGCCCAGTTGGATAAACAGCAACTCATGTGAAAAATGAGTTCAAACCACATCAATCAGGGAGTCTGCGTCGCAATCACAACACGTTTTTTGGAGTTCTTATCACACATTTTCTGCAGTCTTATTTGTGAGCAGAGACTGAGGCCAGAGTTTCCTGCTTCCATCTTTGTTTGACCTACGTTACCTTGTGGTATTAGCTCGACTCGAAGCCTCCTCCTCAGTCTGTGGTTGCTCCTTTGGTTTCGGTTTACGAGGTTTGCTTTCACCTGGCTCACTTAATAAAACATCACAAATAGAAAAAAATAATCAGTTTGGATATCGATAACTTTTACCTCTATGGGGACAAATCTAGTCTGCATGTGGCTTAAGCTGGAGTCAAAACCACAGCACATTTACACGTCTCTCTCACCTGAAGGCCTGAATTATGACTGTGCCAAACAGAATGAAGAGGGCAGAGAAGATCAGCGACAGGATGGGCATCATCTCTCGCCTTGATGAGGGGACACATGACACATGTAATGAGTTAACCACGTGGGAGAAGATTCACGCCATATCAGACAATAACAGCCTTTCTTTTGCACTAAACAAATGATGCAAACTGTTCAGCGGAAGTGATGTCTCACCAGTTTGAGTAGAGGAGGTCATCATATACTTGAAGGATGTAATCATAGGCAGCGTTCATCCACTGAATTATAAACATCTGGAAAGTTGAATATCAAAAATAAAAACATTGGCATTCATCAAAAAGGTTCCGGCTTCAGGTGTGTGTAAGCCACCGCCCCGTAGAAGTAAAGAGTGTGTGTCTACGGGATTTACCGGAGCCATCTCGTTATTGAGTTCAGGCAGGGTGGATTCCAAGGTCAGGTACGTGGGGTCTTTCTGAAGGAGCTCCAGCTGTTCATGGAGACGGTACTTATCCTCCTCGCTGCCATTCCAGCCGCCGCTTACAGAGCGGTAGAGAACCCTGCCAGCCTGGCTCCGCCTCTCGAGAAGCACAACCTGTAAGAGATGTTAAGAATGATTTTAACGGGGTGCCCTGGCAGCAAAGTGGTTAGGCTATAAGTCCTCCAAGCTGGCTTCCATCACTACTTGCTTTGATTTTCTTAAATATTTTTATTGAGGAGTCATGTTAGTAAGTTTGTATGATTTTTATAAACCACTGACCTGAGGTGAGAGTGCGGCCTGATTGTGGAGCAGAGCCTGACAGAGAGGCTGCTGGTGTCGCTGATAGACGTACGCAAACCGCAGCACCTCTTTACTGTTCGCCGACGCAAAGTCAAGGAAGGCCTTATTGCCCGAGAGAAAGGCTGGGTCCTCCCCTGTGATCAGCAGCACACAGTACCTGCAAAGATTTCAAGTTTCTTTAGCGATCCCAGGATTTTCATTCAAATTCACAAGAACCTGGTCGAGCTTGTTTTCCTTTTCTTTCTTTTACAAAATCAGTGTGAGTAGAAAGGGAGTGGTGAGGCGATGATGAAGGTCGTCGTTTTAGAGCTCCTGTGAGGAAGACTAAAAGACTCCAGGTCTCATTTTTACCAAGTGCAATTAATATGTTAAACAACAATTAGCTATTTGTTGCTCTTTTTGCACATTTGCACACCTCCACTTTGCACTTTAATGACTTGAATTTCTATTCTGTTATGGGCTCTTGACTGATTTTATTGCGCTGTTTTGTATTTGGTTTTATATTTTGCTGTGCTGTCTGATTTTAAAATTTGTTTTGGTTTATGTTTTATGCTGATGTTGTCCTTGTGTTTCTTGTCTTCTGTGTGCTCCTGTTGCAACGCAAGATTTCCCCTTGTGGGACACTAAAAAAATCTGAATCTGAAGACGCATTCTCTTATTATACAAGAGTTCAATGTCAGTGAGATATTAACAGCAGGACCAGAAGCTTACTTCCTCCGACGGTGAAACTGCTTTACAGGACAGAGCTCATCAAAGAGCTGCTGGTTGACCAGCCGCGGCACCTGCAGGAACTTGTTGTTGGAGACAAACTCATCCATGATCTGTCGCTTCATCCCTCTTGCCTGAAAGAGAAAAAGAAAAGACAGAGGCTGTGAAGCGAGAACATGTTTAAGAGCTCAATTAAAAAATATATGAACTGGTAAAAATTTATAATTTTATCAAAATCAAAAAATGGTTAAGCCTTGAAGAGTGATAAAGACTTAACGCTGTAATGGGTGTACCTGGATGATGTCCACAGGCTTCTGTGTATCCTCCTTAAAGAGCAGCATGGTGGGGGCGTAGGTGTTTATGTTGAACTGCCGCAGTATTCGAGTGCTGTGTGTTTCACCTTGATCCACGTAGCCGAAGCGCACATAGTCTCTGAAGGCAAACGCTGTTAACTGGAGAGTGGAGGTGGGAAGATGTGATCCTTAAAATACTTTTTCCATCTACACATTTCAAGTTCTTTTACATTAACTCTGAACCAGAGACAAGGTAGTTAGTCTCATTAGTCAGAAATACATTTCCAGTTCATTTGACATTGCGTTGTATACAATTCTGTATCTGCAGGTGCTTCTCTGCTTCCTGTGAACACATAACTTACTTTGTACAGTAGAGAGGCGGAAGGGACTTGGTCAAACAAGAGAACACTGGGCTTATTTTCAGCATGCCAGTTATCCATAAAAGCCACGTAGTTGTTATCTGAGACCTGAAAAACAATGAAAAGTAGTTCAATTATGTGTTCTTGCCATAGGCGATTTTAGACCCTTTAGTCCCAGCTTGAAGCGCCTGTGTGTGCACATACGGGCAACCAAATAAAATAATTAGGAAGAATGCATTCGAGCTGTTTTTGTGGTTTTGCTCCTCGAAATGGAGGGGGGGTAAATATTATTAAAAGCGGATTTAAAGCCTCCTACTTGATTTGCTGCTTCAACCAAAAGTGGCATTGACGAGCACTATGACTCACTTCTTTGGGTGAAATTTTGGGGCTTTTTTTTGCATTCATAAAACGCCTGGGGGGGGAAAACAGCTAGGAGCGACTGTCCATGCGCATAGGGGTGAAAAAATAAAATGGAAAATGGATTGAGCAAACGTAGAGCTCTCGCTGTTGCTTTGCTCCTAGACAAGGTACTTAACAAGTAGTGCTTTTGAATCTACCTTAACCTAATCAGGCCCAGTATGTTATCCATGATAAGATCTATAAAATCCAGAAAAAACATTAGACTATAATTCCTCAGAAACAGCCACACGTCAATGGCATTTACCTTTTCCACCAGTTTCTGGGGCAGCAGGTCTTCTATGAACTGTCGCAGGTGCTCCCGAACCACAGCCTGATGGAAGAAGGTCACTCTGCCGTTCACCAGCCCTATGATGGAGGGTGCACGATGGGCGCCCAGCTGGTTGGCCAGGCGACGCTCATAACCCAGGTCCACAATGCCAATACCAACACCTGATGCAGGAGGAAAAGAAAACAGACTGGTATTGTATCTGTAGACCACCTGCAACTTTTTTATGTTATGTTATTCAAGTGATTTTGGACAATAAATCCAGTAACAGCAAACACAGAGCGCTGCCTTACTGTTCACACTTCTGGTGACAAAACTGCTGTGTTCATTTTTATATGAATTCTCGTATCGCAAGAACAATGACATTGCAATTTTTTAGTGTCCCCTCCCTAATATAGACACAACAAATTTAGATCATGTTCTTAAAGCAACTCCTGTCTTTCACCAAACATCCAGCGGAAAGGGACTATCTAATGGATCTGCTCCATAAAAAATGCATAGATTCTGTTTTTACGGTTTTGCAGAGTTCTGTTTCCATCCAGCGATATATTTAAGCACCTGAGGAAACAAGCCAACATGGCATTAAGTCACATGAGATCAGGTTCTTTTACTGTTCAGTTGATGATGACAATGACGGAGAGGGGTTCATTGAATTATCAAGAAGCACTGAAATCACAGTTAGCTGCTTTTTAAACTGGTACAGTGGTTTATTGTTGTCCAGCACAAAAAACATAACTTATAGGATGTTCTCAGTAATTCAAATGAAAATAACTACACACAGTGCAAACGATCTCACCCAAACTGAACATTAGTAGCTTTGTAATGGATGCTGGGCCAAAGCTGTCATACCACATTGCATTATATGGTACAGTTGTGCATATTACTTATGAACCGCTGAAGATACAAACACTGCAAGAGGATTTTAGAATTTGTGTTAGGTTCCAAATAACTCTTCAAAAAGGTCATTTTAGTGTCTGCTGGATGCGTTAGAAAAAAAACAGTTTTCATACCAAATTTAACATACTACTCTATAAGGCCATAATGAGTCAATCTTCTGTTCTGCTCCTCTTGTTGTGGTATTTTACCCCGAACTATCCAAGTCTGTTTAGTCAGGTTAAGCTTCTACTAGGGTATATATTCGGACAGAGTAAAGCTTTTTTACGAGCTGATACAGCCTGATGATTAAGACCAACAAAGGGTCCACTGGGTTACATAAATATGCAGGGATATTTTTCAAGAGCAGGCCACTTGGGTACAACAGAGCCAGCATGGGATTAAGTAGAGTGGAAACTTGTAATTGTTCTTCCACTTTGCAGAATTGACTCAACAACTTTAAATGCATCCCCAGTGTCAAAACTTTGTGACCTCGTGTTTAATTCATCCAATGAACAAATAAACCCTGATGAATAATTAAAGAAATTACTTTCTGTAAAGCACCTCAACACTTACAATGACATATAACGGCCTGCCACTGAGCAGACATCGACCTTATGTTGTGATACTTTACGGATCATAACAATCAAACCAGTCCTGACTCAGAGCGCGTGCGTGCGTGGGTGCGTGTGTGCGTGTGTGTGTGTGTGTGTGTGTGGGGGGGAGATTACCCAGAGGCTCCAGCTCCTGCACCGTCTCCTTCCACACAGGCTCGATGTGGATGCATGCAAAGCACCACTCAGAGGTCACTTTGATGAGGTACGGCCTCTTGTGGCTGTCTGGAAGGACATCAGTGTTAAACTGTGCGTGGTGAAGCAGATACTTGCTGTCTGCAAAGTCCCTGGACCTGGAGGAGGGTTGGAAACAAGACAGTGAGCCTTTTTATAAACATACAGCCTACAGAGTGATGTTCTGTCAGGCCTGTGAGAAACTCCTATCCGTCCATCCTTTCTCAATCTTGGGCTACATTGTTACAACATTTAGTTTTTTAGTCAGACTTTTTGGATCTTCTTATTTATATGAGCTTTAAAATCAAAATCTAAGGATAACTGGTTTGCATTTGAGCAGCAACCAAGTCAGCAACCAATAGTTTTACATTAAAAAAAGAATGTCATATACAATAAATTGGATTATTTAAAACACCAGTTCTACTTCTCTTTAGCATCGAAGCTCAGATTATTTACTTTAAATTGCACATTTTTTGTCCAAATTCTGCTGATACTGATGTAGACACTGACCACAACCCCTGTGATTAATGAAAGACAAAGTTCTCAACGTGGAGTACCTGGGGAAATGGAAAAAAGACTCATCGAAGTAGAAGCTGTTGTGAAAGCCGCGGAAGCCTTGCTGCTGAGACTGTCCATAGGGCTGGTTTTCATCCACCTGGCCATAGCGGTCAAAGTTGGACCGCCGTTCCTCATTAGACAGAATCTGTAAAGTAAAAGGACAGTGACAACTGTGTTTTTTTTATGACTGCAGAGAGAACATAATTCAGAAAGTAAATTAGACTGAGTGAGCCACACAAACAAACAGGACATGAGCCATGTCACCGACCTCATATGACTTGGAAACCTTGATGAACATGTCTTCAGCTTTGGGGTCCTTATTCTTGTCTGGGTGCCTGGAAGAGTCCATCAGAGGACATCATAAATCACAGTTATGTGTTGCAGAGGGTTAGGAAGTTGTCAGTTCAACGTTTTACATGTGATGATAAAAAAAAAGCACAGTGGTTAAGTGAAAATGGACCATCTTCTACTTCCAAATGAGATGGCCTTTAGGGGGACTTGCTGTCAATCACTCACCATTCTTTGGCCAGATTCTTGTAAGCCTTCTTGATTTCTGCTTGACTCGCACTCCTGCTGACACCCAGGATTTTGTAGGGGTCTGATTCAGACGATGTTCTCACCATCTGTACAGCCACACTTAGCAGAAAAATGGCGAGCAAAGCTGGACATGTCAGAGAATGTCGGCAGGTTCTCCTGACCGTCATAGCTTCCGTCTGTCCTCCTCGTCCAACGTTTATACCACTTAGACCCCGAGATGCCCGTCGGTCGATCAACCTTACAAATGTATTCTGTGACTATCAAACCAGTAGGTTACATACCCGGCTCGGTTCACGTCTTGAATTTTAAGTTCACTACTTACGACATGCTAGCGGTTTACTACGATAAGGCCATTATTTTTTCAGCAAACGCATTTAGTCAGTGTCACATCCGCAATAAAAGCTTGAGCTTCCGCTTATGTATTTCAAAATAAAAGGAGCGTAATTATTTTTCAATCTAATTAAATATCTGTTTTTTATGAGGGACAAAAAATGACCAAAGTATAAATAAATAAATAAATAAATGTTGGGAGAAATGCATACAATAATGTATAAATAATTAAATAATTAAATAAATGCATCAATAAATATACAAATGCTGAAAACAATACATCAATGAATAAATAATAAATACACTTTGTTAATGAAAAAGGCTATTTATGTATTTATTCATTTATTAGCGTATTTCTACAGTTATATATGTATCAATGCATACATTTCCACATTAATTGAGTTATTAATTTATTTCCGTATTTTTACATTTACAAATCTATTTATTTCTGTGTCCAGGTCGTAAGAGGAAATTTTAATTTGCTTCTGTCTGTTTTTCAAAATTGACCAATCCTACTTCAGTAATGTTAGGACGGCCCACATAAATACATAAATAAATATATGAATATATTTATTTACATATTTATTGTATGCATTTCTCCCAACATTTATTTATTTATACTTTAGTCATTTTTTGTCCCTCATAGTTTTTACCATAGACTGTAAATATATTTTTACATGAGTTCTGAATAAATTACAATACAACATGGGGCTATAAAGAAGATCTCGCATACTGTAAGACACAAGAGATACGGAGTTTTCTAGGCGTGCTGTATGTGTCACAGAGTCACAAACAATGGGTAAACAAAGCAATAATGAGCGTTGAATCACAGTTTGAACTTGTAAAGGTTGATGATGGTAAAAGAGAGTATGCTGTAAGTTAAAATATATCAGACCTCGTTTTAAGGTTGTGAATATCCACTCTAAATTAATTTAAATCGTGTGCGCAGGCAATTTTTATGCTTTTATTTTGAATCAATGAAAAATAACATCAGGGTTTGGGTTTGTCTTGCTTATTTCTTAAAACTTGACAACTATTTCACACTGGCATAATGCGCATGCGCAAATCAGCGGCCGTGCTATCGCTCCCTGTTTTTTATTCGTTTCAATATAATAATGTAATTCATTTTCTGATACGGCTGTTCTATTAAGAATCATCACTTTCATATATATATTAAAAACTATTCAATTAAATATATTGTACATTTTTCATGTTATTTAAATTTCATACAGTTCCTGGCCAAAAAAAACTTTAAAGGAAGACTTGCCATTTCGTTGTATGTTGATGATTCCCAGTAGGTATTTTTTTTCATTTCAAAACTCATATTGAAAATTTTACCGAAACAGATTGAGACATTATTTACTTTGTAAATATTGATTTATTTTTCTTTTTTCCCCCTATTTAGTTTGGGCTTCACTTCCGTTTCCGCTGTCGTCACAGTCATACAGAACTGATTTGGTTTTTTGCACCATGTAACAAAAAAGATGAATTCTTTGGTACCTGAAACACATCACCCGTCGAACGATTTAACCTGGTCGCTGTAACCTGCGTAGTCGGAAAAGCTTGACCCTCTGGTTTCCATCTCCAGTTTGAACCAATATGAACAACTTGAGCACGTTTGCATTCTGTGGAGTCAGCTTACCAAGTGCGCACAAAGTCTTATAGCGGTAGCTAGCGTTAGCTCTGCAAAGCTGCCGTCTGTGGCCCGTTTCGGCTGTTTCACGCACAGGAACCGGTTCTTTGAACAAGCTCAGGTAACTAACAAACATGTATAATTCTATTACTGAAAACAACAATGTTCCGAAACATATTGCTTAATTCAATAACACAGTTAAGCAAGCTGATGGTCATGCCACACAATGATGGGTATGCAGCTGTGAAGTGGTTTTTCTGTTATCTTCCTCAAAATCTGACAATCACTTGTCCTTACTATCAAACTCTGAATGACAGGATTTGAAGGTGCTACTCATAGTTAACTGCACAGACTAAAACTAGACCTAATTTCCTGATGTTATTGAATGTTTGTTTACATCTGTAAAAACTGTAATAACAGCTATAAACAACCAGAAGTGCTCTGTGATCGATAACTGCAACATCCCTAAACCACATATTTACTATATCGAACAATGAGAAACACAAAATAAGTCATTGGTTGTGTGTTACCTGTGCTATTTTCTTTTTGCAATGTTGCATGCTTGAAGAAATGTAAGTTTCTAGGTCTAATGTTTGTGTTTTGGTTATATATTTCATTTCAGACTCAACGCCATGCATCTGTTACGTCTAGTGTGCCGCCACAAGACAGCCCTGGTCATTGGCACAGTGTGCAGCTTTGCTGTAGTTCTGGTTTTCTTGGCCAAATGTACCTCAGAAACCCTGAAACAGGGCCACCAGGATCCACCAGGCCTAGCCCCTCATGCAATTGCGTTGCAATCCCATCCAGAAAATCACAATCCCCCCTCTACATCTAAAGACTTGTCAGCACTGCTGGTGGTCCTCATCACAACTGGACCAAAGTACACAGAGAGGAGGAGTATCATCCGCAGCACCTGGCTGGCCAAGCGGGACTCAGATGTTCTGGCCATGTTTGTGGTGGGAACTCAGGGGCTTCCCAATGAGGACCTTCAGAACCTGAACACAGAGCAGGGGAGGCACAAGGATCTCCTCTTACTGCCTGACTTGCGAGATTCTTACGAGAACTTAACACTGAAGCTGATGCACATGTACTCCTGGCTGGACCAGAATGCAGAGTTCAAGTTTGTCCTCAAAGCAGATGATGACACATTTGCTCGCTTGGACATCCTGAAGGAGGAGCTGAAGGGGAAAGAGCCCAGCCGATTATACTGGGGCTTCTTTTCAGGGAGGGGGCGAGTGAAAACAGCTGGAAAGTGGCGGGAAAGCTCATGGGAGCTTTGTGACTACTACCTGCCCTACGCACTGGGAGGGGGCTACATCCTCTCAGCAGACCTTGTACATTATATTCATATTAGTGCAGGGTACTTAAAAACATGGCAGAGTGAGGATGTGTCACTGGGCGCTTGGCTGGCACCAGTGGATGTTCGCAGAGTACATGACCCACGCTTTGACACAGAATACAAATCGCGTGGTTGCAACAACAAATACCTGGTGACACATAAGCAGAGCTTGGAGGACATGCTGGAAAAACACCAGACTTTGCAGCGTGACGGCCGGCTCTGCAAGGAGGAAGTCAAGCTGCGATTGTCCTATGTCTACGACTGGAGTGTTCCACCATCACAGTGCTGCCAAAGGAAGGACGGCATTCCTTAAATATGTTCTTTTAACAAGACTGAAGGTACACCCTGTTGAACATCTCTCTTGTCTGAAAAAGTTAAGCAGTAATACTTTTCAACCAAGGCAAGGAATTCCATTTAAAGATGTGTAATGGGTCCCTGACAGACATCAAAATAAATGTGCTAAAACTGTTTAAAAGGTTATTTCAGATTTGGAGAATCCTTTAAATTGCAACAACAAAAACCGGATCACCCAATCACTTCGTATATTTGCAACATACATTCAGCTAAGCACAATCTTTTCTTCCGTTGAAACCAATTTGAAGCTTTTTTTTTTAAATTGCGTGCAGAGTTTCCAATTTCATTAAGACTAATATAGGTGTCATGTGTTATAAGCAACACCTGGTCTTATTTGTTTTGGATTGGGGCAGATAAAGCAATGAGACCTGTTTTTTATTCTCTTCTGCTTACAGAATCAAATAAGGTTTTTACAAATCTGAAAAGTGTCTTTAAAGTCTTTCTATGTGATTTTTCACACTTAAATATAATAGAAATCAAGTATATCCTCTGAAAATAACTCTGTGAGTCATGACTGTCTACAATGGGTGTAACACCTGAGTCCCACTGTCTGTGATGTTTTCAGAGTTTTCAGAGTCCTATCTTCACTTTGTTTACATCGGCAGGACAGCCGGCTGACTCCTCCCCTCACGTATAAAAGTTGTTTAATTGAGGGACTAGAGAAAAGAAGAATAACATACTGTACTCACTGCTTAACTGTGTTTCTAGATCACGCTCATTTCAGGTAAATTTACATGCAGTGTGAAGATACGAGCATAATAAAGATCGCTAGCATTAGCATGCTAACACAACAATGCACCGCAAGTTGTTTTGGTTTCATGCTGACGCTCAAGGGCGACATCTGCTGGATCAAAAAATCACATATAAAGCCTTTAAACAGTCCATATGGTAATATAGTCAAGGTCTGACTACTCAAAATGACATCTGTTTTTTACTTGACTGGGTTTATTGTGAGATGGGAAGAGTGATATAACAAAGCTGATATCTCTATTTCCAAAAAAAAAAAAAAAAGTTTTTAAACAGCATAAAACATATTCGGCCATCTGGTTTTGCGACTTTAAACGGCATGATACTAAAGAATAGACCCCATAACTTATGAACTAACTGACGACTTTAGCCGTGTCTTCTTGCTTACCAGTGAATTCGTTTGGCCCGGTTCTGTGGACCCATATGAATGTGCTCCTTACGGCTTATTCACCACATCTGTTCCTCTTCTTCCCTGTCTTTGTTCCCCTGCTGTTCCTCTCGCGGAATACGTTCCAACACTATGACATATGTTTCAAGATGATCTCAATATAAAAGAAAATACAGGGTAACACAGATGGGAGACTCTGACCCTGCCAGGATGTCTTTCTTGAAAGCAATTTTGCATTTGTATTTTATTTATTGTTAATTTATTGTGCAGCAAGTACCTCACACTGGTATTGATATGGGACTTCAGAACAGTGGCTGTGGTCGCTGCTTGTGATCAAAGTTTTGTATTTATTAACTGCTTGGGGGACAGGAAATGTTCACTTTTTAAATGTCAAATGTTTGTTTACGGTCAATGGTACTCAACAAGATGTCATGTGTTTTGAAGTGCAAGAAAAAAAAATGGTTGAATGTTTTACCATTCAACAGGCCGCCTTATTCTTTATACTGGAGTTTATGTGAAGGGTTTATGATTACTTCTACATGTCCAAGTTATTCTGAACACTTATAACTCGAGATCCAAACTTTTTCTGACTTGAAATGTCAAGTTGTTTGTTCATGTTTGTTTCCAAACAAATCACAGATTCAGTTGGACAAACCTGCGGGGGACTACCTGCTGGCACTTGGTAACTTTAAACTAAAAGCAAAATAATTGTAAGGTCCATGAATTTCAAGTGTCTACTTTTTTATCTTCAACATGAACTGTTTGTCCTCATTCCTAAAGCTATGTCTTGCAAATGATCAAACGGTATGAAATGATGGAGATTTTAATTTTAATTTTTTTTACTGCTGTTAAGTTTTTTTGTCACCATCGTCTCACTGTTGTCACTAGTAATATATATACATACTTGGATCTTTTTGGGCCTGTTCTGTGCACACATCTATTGCATGGCTGTCCATTCTGGGTGAGAGATCCCTCCTCTGTGACTCCCTAAGTCACCTTGCTGAGTTTCCTTGCTCAAAGGATTTTTTTCCTTGTTTTTTCTGTTTATCTCAGTTATCTTAACTTGATAATACTCCAGTAATGAAAAATGTAAATTTGAGTTTTTAAAACTTTTATAATTCTTAGTCAAGGGTACTCCAAGTGCATCAAACAGATCTATGGCGACCGTCAGACACATTGTGCAGCCCTTGAACATGACATGGAATGCATACCTTAACCATTACACGGTTATTATTAAGTAATAAGAAATAATCTTGAGAATATTCAAATAACATATTTGATTAGTAAAAAAAAAGAATCAATCATTAGAAAGAGAACATAACCATGATTGTCATTGGTTTTAAGTGAAAATAGTAAAGCATAATTTGCATCAAGAGATTTAAAATATTAAAATGTTATGGATTGAGGCATTATTTCTGCAAATTGTGTTTTCACAGGTTCAACCACTCTTAAAGGAAAACCCTTGCCTCAGGGTCTTTCTTGATATGCCCAAAGAGGTAAATGATGTAACAGCAAATGGTGTGGCTACTCTCCTAAAACCCAACTACTCAGTTTTAGGAAGTAACAGGAGACCAAAGGAGGAGTACATGGTGGTGAAGTTCAGAGAGTTTCTTCACAGTGTACAAGGTAAATTCATGCTACCAAAGTATGTATAGTGGGGTGGCATAACTTAACTATCATTTATTTTGTGATAAAAACACCCAAAAACATCCATATGTTTTCACAATAGTTATTTGTTCAGTGTTCATTTATTAATTGTTACCAAAATAACATTTTCTTAATGCAGTGGTTCTCAAATCTTTTCTGGTATTCCTAACTCAGAAACCAATTTAACTTCATGAACATTTTTAAATTGATAATTAACAAAATGGGAAACTGACCGATGACATGTTTACATATAACATTTATTTCATTATATCCATCAATAATCCATGGGAGATATGTGAAACGAGCTACTGCTGTGTCACAGGATGACTAGATCAAGTCAAACTTGGAATTACTGTATGGACATGTTCATGAAAAAATTAAAGGGAGAGTAAACTGAAAATGCAGTTCAGGAATCAATGTTGACATCACCGTGGTAATGGCTAACATGCTGTATGTAATTTTCATTAAAGGTCCCATATTATGCTTTTTCTGGTTTTATATGCTCTTAAGTGTGTTTTCCAAGTGTCCTGTGCATGTTTAGGCACATCTATGTGCAAAAATTCAAAGTCCACGTCAACGCGGCTTCTCCTACGTCCTCTTGTTAGCTGTAGCATTAGCTGCATGTAACGCTCGGTTCTAGCCCCCCTCGATAAAAAATTGTCAGTCCGACGTCATTGTCAGTGTGAGATCACTGATCTAAGCCCATTGGCTCGTTGTGGCAAGCCCTGCAGCTCATGTTGCACGCCCATTAACTTCTGTAGAACGCCCACGATATGCCTAGACTGCGGTAGCACAGTAGTGCTAAGGTGCTAATGTTTATGCTCCCCTCGGACGGAGCCAGTGGCTGCGTTTCCAATGTGGTAAAAGAGGCGGGACATTTCCGAGAACCGTGCTGAGCAACTGACCAATAACGACAGAGCGTATCGGCAGACCAATCGGAGCAGACTTGGCCCACGTGGGGCTCTGCAGTGGGGGCTCAGCAGAGCGTAGCTGACAGACTCAGAGCGTAGCGGGAGCACGGAGGAGCAGTACATGAAAACAGACACTTTTTTCGGACTTTACAAACCCCAAAAAGGGCAAAATATGGGCTCTTTAATTTCTCTTTTAAAAAAAAGACATCATATAATGTTACGACAATGAATGGCGTCTAGGGGATGCTCATTCTCTAAAACAAGGTACATAAGCTACACAAACAAAGGCTGGCTGGCGGTGTAGTGTGTGGGCTTACCTCCGGTCAGCAGTCAGTGGCGTGCTCGGACCGTCAGGCTTCACACAAGCTGCCAGCACAAGCACACAGTCTCTTTCTCAAGTTCTGTTGTTTGTTTACAAGTTGGTCAAACGAAAAGGAACCAAAATCGGGAGGTAGTGGATGTCAGGGCACACAATGTCACATACTTTTCACACCTGTGCCACTGTGTTAATTAATAAGCCCCACCCACTACCAGCCAGCCAAAAACAAAAAGAGGAAGTCATGCTTACTCACAGACTTTAGAACCTAACTATATCTAAATATTTGGGGCCGAACCATCTCTGGCTCAACCACAATGAGTTGATTGTTGTGACTTACCATTAGGAAAGCCTGACTATCTCTATTGTCCAACCTGTAAGAATTCCAATTCTGTAATTTAACTGTCTAATATCTGAGTTCAAGATAAGCAAGTGTAACCCGTGTGTAAAGCATGTGTTCTGCGTTGTGTTCTGGGTTGCAGAAATAAATCAGGAGACAGCTCTTGGGTTCTGGTTCTGTATTCAACAAATAAAAGCACATATCAGTCCTGTGTGTGTGTGTGTGTCGAGAGTCGAGCATCTCCTCTCTGACCAAAGTTGTAATGGCTCTCTGGCCTTGTTTACGTTCACACATTAAACATTAATTCAAAATAATGCGATATAATCAACAGCACTTCAAAATAAACACAATTGTTAAAAAACGATATTATCCAAAATAAAGTTAAAATAAATAGATACATAATAAATACAACATAAGAAAAATATTTAGAAAACTAACCCAAATAAACTATACAATAAGACATCAAATCAACAATAATATGGAACCAGAAAATCCCTTACATTTAGCATCTATGTACAGCATATAAATTCACATTGGTAGTTTTAATATTTACATATATTAATGAGACACACAAAAAAAAACCTCTCCATACCTGTATTCAACAAATAAAAGCACAAATCAGTCCTGTGTGTGTGTGTTGTCAGAGTCCAGCATCTCCCCTGACAAAAGACAAATGTATCCTTAGGGAGAGACCGGGTTTCCTACTGCGCGAGACACTAGCTTATCACTGTACATTAGCCGTTAATATTTATGACGAAACTAATTAATAACTTTATA